CATCTCTTAGAAGGAGGAAGAAGCAACTTCTGACAGCGCCTGTGATGAAAAAAAACTATGGACAAAAAATACGCTCATTGGAGTGCAGAACATTGGAGAAAAGTGTTATTTTCTGATGAGACCCACTTCCTAGTACAGAGCCGGCGATCAAAATTCGTACCAAAGGCAGCCATGCCTTTGGTACGAATGCCTCAATGAGTCACTTTTAGCTAGCCATATTAACCAAACAGTTAAACATCCCACAAAAAAATGTTCTGGGGCTGTTTTTTCATACTCAGGAACTGGCACTCTTATTCCTATTGAAGGTTTGAACAGTGAAAAGTACAAAGCCATGCTAGTGCAACGCTTAGCTAGAGCAAAGTAGAGGCCAAAGGGACTGCAATTTTACAACAAGATTCAGCTCCGTGCCATATATCGAAGGTTATGCTGAAATGCTTCAAGGATAATAATATTACCCTTCTTGATTGGCCTGTGAATTGAACTGACCTTAATCCTATTGAAAATTTGTGGACAATATGTAAGGCTAAACTGCAAAAATTTAACTGGACGACGAAAACAAAAATGGTGGAAGCAGTGATTAAGATGTGGTTTAGAGATGAAGCAATCAGAAACAATTGCAAAAAAATTGTGGATTCCATGCCTAGAAGAAATTTTCGTTTGAACTAATTGAAAAGTTATGTATTAGGCCGCATTAGGGTAAATGTCCAATATTTATATAGAGTATAACTAATTGACTTTCCAAATAATCTGGAAACTAGCACTACTAGCCACTACTCCGGTAATAATTAACTTTTGAAAATTGAATATGTCAATATTTATGCAATGATTAAAAACTGATATAAACGTATAGTTATAGTTATCGTTTTATTTCGAAGATTTTGAGTTTCTTTATACTCCTAATATAGTAAATGAACCCACATGACATTTTGGAACATCACTGGAACAAAAGATTCTCATCATTGTACTTATGCGAAGCAACATCCAGTAAGTTCAACGATATTGACGCTTTGTTAAAACCAACCGTAAACGCTGATCATACTAGGATTGTCAACTCTTCATGTATGGATTCGCTGATTCGAATGTTGCATACATATACGCTACCAAAGTGACCCACAAATTTGGCAAGCGCACAAAGCCGAAGACAAAGATGTGAAACAAAAAAGAAAGCTTATGATCCAGGATGGTGTAAAAAAAGGAATGGGACTCCTCATAGGAAGGCCAAAACCCGATTTTGGCAGTAATATTGATGTAAACACAAGTTCGAGTGGTGAAGAAATTTATATAGAAAAATTTCGGAAGTAGGTACTACAGAAATAGCCAGGTACTTTGTTTAACTATATCCCTGGTACAATATACCCAACGAAGTTTACCGATTACTGATCCATGAACCCGATATAATTGCAATCATTATTACTAATAAGCATACTATCAGAAAAAGAAAAGGAAAGACAGTTAAGATTTGATTTCACGTATAGTGCGTCTGTGTATCCACTTATACGTATTTCACCCTAAAAGGGATTTTCGGAGCAGCTATTCACACATACTCTGAACGTGAACATAATCAAGTCCGTAAACTAATTTTCGAAACCAAATTCAGACTTCTGATTTAATCTGTTCCTTCTAAGAATTGCAAGGCAAAACCGACGTCGATAAAGATGTAATTAGAGACATGGGGAATCTAAAATTGCATTCCACACAACATATCTCCTCAACTAAGTAAAAATTCTTAGCGAATTGGTCTCTCGTACTTATAAAGAGTATATCGGAATAAAACTTTATTCCGATATACTTAAATAGAGTTCATCCATTCTTCTTTGGCTTTCCTGATTTTGTTTCGGATAGTTCTCTGGGTTTCTTTATACTTTACTTTATTGCGGTTTTTGTAAGATCTTCTTACGTCCATCAGTTCTACGATTTCGGCTGTCATCCATGTATTCTTTGTTTTTCTTGTGCTGTCTTGTAGTTGTTCTGTTTGTATAGTTGTAATTGTTGTTTTGAAGGTGTGCCAAATACTTTCTACTGATTCTTCTGCTACCGCGGGTGCTTAACTGAATTTTTCTTTGAGTGTATCATTGAGTATTTTTAAGATATATATAATAATTATTGCACTATATTTTCTTTGGGACTTCCTTCAGTGCAATGTTATGGACATCTTTCATTCTTGGCACTCTGTACCCTTCTAGTTTTCTTTATTTTCGCTACATTTTCTGGACTTAGGTAATCTTCTTTATATACTAAACATTCGTTTTTTCCTGTTATCCTCTTATATTCGTTATTTACCATTTCTCTGGTTTGTCCATATGACATATTTTGATTCTGCCTGTGTGTTTCTGCCATTTTTCTTGCAATTGCGTCCACTTTTTCCTGAGTCTCGTAGTTTTAGCATTTTCCATACATTTAGCCTTTTCCCTTAAATATTTTTTCTAAAGGACTATAAAAGCCTGACTATACCCAATCTATAAAAACAAATTTGTTAGAAATTAAAACCGCAATTCCGGAAGAAATCAATAGTTAACCTTCATTACGCATTTTGCAGGCAAAAATGAGTTTTCTCAGATGCAGCGATTACGAACTTTGTAGCATTATTTGCGTAAGAATTTCAATGAAATCCTTATTCATACTTCCTCGTTATCTGTTAAGCGAGAATAATTTCTTTGTTTCAGCTGATAAACTGTTAGTGTTATTAACACAAATCCAGTCTTTGTTCGTAGTGAATGTTTTTAATTAAATAATCACGATTAAAGAAAGTGTTGTTCTTACGGGTTTATAGTTTTATTTATATACAGTGAGTCTTAACTTATATGTGACAGACTAAAAATAAAAAAAAAATTAAAAATTTATATGAATCTTGTTAAAATCATTGAAACTACTAATATTTATATATGCAGTCATAGTTGACAATACTCTCGTTGGCTTTATGATTATGCAGTTTCTTTCTTGGATCACATAAATGTTAATCATCTCCTTCACAGGCATGTCTTGTTTAATCTTCTCCCCTTCTCCCACAGAATTCTGTCTGCCGCTTCAAGTCCAACTCCAAGTGGTCATGTTTCTACATCCATACCATAAACAGATTTTTTTGTGCTTTTTCTGCGAGTCCACTGTTCCGTCTTTTGTAATTTTTCGAAGAAGTTTTTGTAACTTTCTAACGTTTATAAAAAAGAAGGAAAAATTGTGGATTTTTTCATCAAATGGGATTTCTCTTGAGTAGTGGGGCTTTTTAAAACTTGACCATAGCTCTGAGATTGGCTTTGTAACCCTCGTCTAGGAATTACAATTTTTACTCACTTTAAAAATACTTTTTTTCCAGTCTTTTATTTGTCATAAGTTTGTACAAAAATATATCAGTCTGTTCATTTATAAAATAATCGACTTAACAAAATAATACATAAAGGCGGTAATCCTACCTGTCGTGATCTATGTAGGAAATATAATGTGCTAAACAAATATAGACAAAGGTAAAGAAACATCTCCAGAAGTATCGAGATAATTCTACGAGAATCTCGTAGAATTATAGAAAATTCAAGAAGGAGAAAGACGATTACTCGATTAGTAGATAAGAAATTAGATGAAAGAAGAGTAATCATTCAGCATACTAAGGTTCAAAGTTAGAAATGGTTCGACTAAGTCCAAAGACGCGAACATAACCTAATGTACAAAACATTAAAGGGAATCTTCTTCTTCACGTGCCATATCAGAATTATCCTACGTTGGCGATCACCATTGCTTAGGCTTCTTGATCTTCTGCCATATGGAAAAATTGTCCTGCATTTGATATCTCAATTCATTCACGAATGTTTTTAACTAAGATACCTGTTTTCTTCCTACTCCTCTATGACCTATTTACCTTTGGATCAGTTATAGTATTCTATATTGACTTTCCCTTACTATATGTCCCTTATAAGACATTTTCCGGTGTTTAACAGTCTTAAGCAATTCTCTATATTTGTTGACCCTCCTTAGTGCTTCTTCATTAATATTTCTTGCTGTCCAAGTTATCCTCAGCATCGTATATGAATCCACATGCTTTTCAATGCTTCAATCTATTTATGCTTGATTCTTTTATTGTCCACACTTCTGCTCCATACAAAAGTACAGACCAAATATAGCACTTAACCATTCTTTGTCTTAGTTCTAAACTGAGATGATTATTACAAAGAAATGTCTTTATTTTCATAACAGGATTTTTAGACATTGCTATTCTGCATTTGATATTCTTTACGAATTACTAATTATTCTCTCTCCTGTTGCCGACCAGAAAGTAGCTTCGCACATTTTTTAAATAATTTTAAACTGTTTGTCCTTGTTTAGTGTAGTGTTATGTACAATTGTATGCTTATGACATTCTGTGATTGTTGGATAGCCCAAAATTGACGAAATACTCTTGAACATGGTCTAGGAAGCGAAAGTACTCGGGCAAGATTTAATTAATAAAACTGTGTTCGATATCTGTCTTTCATTTTATCAAAGTTTAATTACTAATTACTTTAATAAAACCTAAAGGAAGACCCAAATGCAGGTAAAAAGATCACATTATAGAAGATATTAAATTTATAAACCTAAAGATGAAGATAAAAAACTAATGGAGATTTGCAAATTCGGTGAAATCACACTATAAACTGTAGAAAATAAGAAACCGAAAATGCGAGACTGATCTTTCGTAGAGACCAAATCATAAGAGCTAAGGTTGTCTATATACATATTGGTCATGCCTATAACATTGGTGTCAGAATAGTATTTTAAGAAACTCCATTATGGCGGCTGTATTGCAGACAAGGATAATGGATAGGTTGACACTAAACATTAGTAAAAACTGTTCGCTATATAACTTTTATTTAAAACGACACCAAGACTAGTATCGCCCAATAATAGTGTTAGTTAAGATGAGATCTTCATAGAAAAAACGTTAATGTTTTCCAGCCTCCATTTTATTTATTCATAGTATAGCCGATGTATTATACATGTATTGTCTGTTATAAATGTATTTTTATTTGTTTCAGATATACAGTGACAGTGCGAGTATCGGAAGAACAACCATATCAAGTTAGGGAGTACGTGTGGTGCCTGAATTTCCCTCCAAGATGCTCAAAATATAAGATTAAGTTTAAGACAGTGTACAAAATTCAAAATCTGGTCAAGACTAGACCGGTTGAAGACTGCTGCAAGGGTTACACGAAAAGTAATACCGGCGATAAATGTATACCGATTTGTTCAAAAGACTGCCTTCATGGAACTTGCACAGCTCCAGATACTTGCCAGTGCGAAACGGGATATGGCGGACCATACTGTGATATTTGTAAGTACACGAATTATTAAGTACAAAGTACAATAAAATTGTAAATAATCTTACTTAGACTACAAGTATCTCTGAACATTCTTTCTTCAGCGTTGAAAATTTTGTATTTCTTGTGAACCTTAGCCAGAATATGATCTTTATGTATATACAGGTATAATACAGGCCTTTTGCCAATTTCTAGAGTTTCAAAAGGTACCTACATATTGTACTGTATTTTCTTTCCATTAATTTAAAAAGGATTAAACTATATTTTTTTATTGTGAAAAAAAATTCTGAGACTTCAATAAAATGACACTACCGATCAATCATTAAACAAATATTATACAGGCTTGATGTTTTGGTTTGCTTTGCCAAAATTTAAATTGAGAGTAAATTTTTTTAATGAAAAATTAAGTAATCAGGTAGGGAAAAATAAATATGCCATTTTAATTCCTATTTAATTTGTAAAATTTCTATTAGAGGATTCAAAAACCGTATACAGGGTGACATTTTTTTTTATAAACAAAATGAACTAATTTTAAAACCGGTCCCAATTTTTGTCTAGCTTGAATATAAATCAGTTGATTAGGCGGCAGTGATGTAACTTTTGACCAAAATATCAGATGCATCAAACTTACCGTTCAAAAGTTATAATGAATAGAGATTTCGGTCAAAATTCTGAATTCGTTGTGTATATTATTAAACTATGGAAACAGATACTTTTTAATGGCCATTTATTATTTCCCATACAGGTATCCATACGAGGTAGGAGTATGTACAGTTCCTCATTACTCACCCTGTATTATCTTTATGATCTCTGGGATATTTATGGTATTTATTTTATTCTACTCATTTTCATTGCTTCAGCCGTCATCGTGGTAATACGTCAGAATTTCCAGATGTTAGCGGTTATAACCATTCAAAGGATGTCTATGGATTTGCAGAAGCAGGAGTACAAGCCACAAATTCATGGACTCTCCTGATTTGATTTCCAACGGAGATCAATAAGCACTTTCTCTGTTGAATTCTATTTTTCTCTCGTTTCTATAAATTGTTTTGTAAATTCAAATTTATGTCCAGACTGTCAAAAAGAAGGGGATCTAAATCACATTTTCTTCGAATGTAAAAAATACACAAAACAAACTGAAGATCTAATAAAAAATTTAGTTAACATCAAAATTTTTCCTCCGTACAATATGTGATGAATGAATGTTGAATGTAATGAATGTTTGATGGAATTTATTTGCGAAAGTAAGCTCAATATTTAACTGTAATTAGAATCTTAACCTCTGTTTTACCCCATTTGTTATTACCTTTTATCCGTGACCTAATCTAGTTTGTCTTAAAAGCAATGTCTTGATGGGTCCCTAGACGAGAAACGAGTGTCCATGTATTATCCCTATCCTATCCTTAATAATAATTTTAATGCTTAAAATTTGTAAGGAGACTTAGGTTTGAATTTTATATTATCTTTTTATATTGTACTACTCAATTTTTTTTTCTGGGTAGAATATTTTCATGTTGTGACTGGCTGTATGGCACTTGCCTATGCCATTAAAAAAAAATAAATTCTTTCCACTTTATAATTTTCATGTTTTTAATATCATCTCCCCTGACCTCTCTCATCATAAATTTGGTCTCTTCCTTGAAGTCTCGAATTTGGAGGTTTTCATTTTAATATTTTTTTATGATTTTATCTTCTTTTTTTAAATATGACCGATCTACTTCAGCCGTTGAGCTTTTATGTATCAAATATGTTCATCCAGTGTTAATTTTCTAATTGGAAAACTCACCTTCTTATATTTTCTTTGGTCCCAAAATTCTTCATTCAAGAGTTTGTTAATTTTTTTTATCTCTGTTACTTATGCATATGTTTTCTTCTGCATAGGTCTCCTTGACATGTCTGATTCCAGCTTTATGTATCTGGCTTTTGGTTTTTGTACTAATGTTTCTATTTTTTAGCAATATTGGGTATTTCCAGTACATTTTACTGCTATATTTATTTATGCTTTTATTTATTTCTGTGATTATGTTTTCAACTTTCCACTACAACTCCTAAGTATTTCAATAATTCTGATTTTATTCAATCATTCTGAGTTCGCGTTTGCTTCAATTATTTTTACCACTCAGAATTTTGCTTCCTCTGTAAGATTATTCAATTCTCGTTTTTTTCTTTAATTTTTTTCTATTGCTAACATAGATTCATAAGCTTATGTAAGACTTTGACATTGTCGGAAACACAACAAAACAGTTCCTAAAACTCATTAATAGCTGAAATAAACTCAAAAAAATCTAAAAAATAAACATTTAAGCCTTTGTTTTGATTGATGCATTTTTATTTGGTTGATAAAGTGCAAGTGTACGCAGTGTATAATTTTTTAATGTTATTATTATATAATTATTATATAATATTGACTATGAGCACGTGTACTTGGGAAGTAAAAATTTTATCAACATGGCATTAAAATTAATTATTAAATTGTTGAGACGGAGTTCAGTGAATAGAGTAAACCAGATTATCCACAGATGTAGTAGTTTGTGCGAAGATCTATATAATTAGCTTGCCAATTGCAGTTCTCTTAATAATTGGTCCATCTAGAACTATATTAAAAAGTGTAGTAGACAGGATTTTCCTTTATCATATACTAGCCTTCTCTGCTCGGATCTGCATTACAGAGTTATCTTGCTGTTCACATTAATCGGATTATTTTTATTGATCTTTCATTAACATTTAATTCCGGTCTCTATATACAGTGTCTCAAGATTTGCTGACAATTTATAAATACTCAATATGCAATATTATCGTTAATAGATCTTGTATATATCATTTCCCGTTTTTAAAATCAAGCTGGTATTGTCCTGTGTTTTCGGGATATTCATTTTTTTCCCTGTGGCCATTGTTGTTTTCTACACTCACTCTAGAATTTTTATACCCTGTAGAAATTTGTACGGGTCTTTTGCTTGGTGAGTCCTAGACATACCTGGATTTCATCTTGATATAGTTGTTGTCTTTTCTCAAAATCACATAATACATGTTTTAAAGTTTCTGATTCGTTATCATAGAGTTTGCAGTTAGTTAGGGTCTGTATTATAAATACCTCTTTTATTCAGTAATTTACTAGTGCATGCCCGATAAACATTCCTGTTACTGTTATCAATTTATTCCTGCTCATGTGGAGCAGCTATTCGATTCTTTTTATACATGGTCCACCAATGAAGATTTTCTCATGTGTTTGTTTTGGGATTCTCTTCCAATATCGCTCTTGACTTTTTCGGATCCAATCCTACCTACGTACTGCATCCTTTGGGACTCCCAGTGTCTCATCTGCTTCTTTGATTCGATCCTATTCTAGCAAGTTGGTCTGCTTTTTCGTTGCCTTCGATGCCCTGGTATCCAGACAAGCTCAACCTTTTTCCGGTCTCCCAATTCATTCTGTTCTCTGATGTAGTCTCATACCACTCTGGACACAGTTTCGATCACTTCCTGACGCGCCAGTACTTTCAGTGCCGCTTGTCTGTCAAATACTATATGGATTTGCTCTTTTTCAAGTGTTCTTTCACCATTTTCCTTCTCACATTGTAGTATCTCCGTAATAACTCCGTAGTAACTCCTGGATTTTTGGAGTATATTCCTTCCCCCACATCCTCTTCTCTCTTGGATCCGGCTGTGTCCTAAATCTTTGGTTTTTGCAGCTGTTTGAAGTGTCAGTCACCACATCATCGATGCATGAGTAATTAAGGATTTGATCACCATGGTACACCATGTACACTCAATGAGTTGTCACTGCACTGTCACTGTCTGACACTCAAAAGAGTTGTCACTGCACTGTGTTTGCACAGAGTTTGTTATGTTTTCTAAGTCCAATTTTGGTGCTCATAGGTCCCAGAATCGTAAACAAAGGATTACCTCAGGGTTCTGTATTGAGCCCTATCCTGTTTAATATGTACGTAGCGGACTTGTACAATATTTAAATAAATATCATACCCTTCAACCTCACACAATATGCAGATGATTTCTGCATCTACACAGAACTCAAAGAATATCAAACATCAATTAAAAACTTGGATAGTATCTATCAGCTACTTCAAAAATGGCTCCATAAAAACAATTTTGAATTATCTTGCAATAAATCTCAGGTTTGCATTTTTACTAGACATTATAAACCTAACGATCAAATAATTAAATTAGGAGAGCATCAATATCCACTAAAAAGTAAGGTCAAATATTTAGGGATGACACTTGACAAACATTTGACTTGGAAGGATCATATTGAGGATATGTTAAATAAATGCAACAAGGGAATAAATTTCTTTAAATCGATTAATAAAACGTGGTGGGGTGCTGATGTAGATGTAAATTTATTATTCTACAGATCGTATATCCGCTCCATTTTTGATTACGGAAGCATATTTTATGGATCAGCCAGTAATGTATTGCTAAATAAAATTAACGTAATACACAATTCAGCTTTACGTACATGTTTAGGCGCTATGAAGTCCACACCAATTCAACCCTTGTACTTATTTGGAAGCCTTGGAACCACCTTTAAATATCAGACGAAACTTTCTGTCCGAAAAATTTCTGGTAAAGACATATATAAAAAATCAATCCTTATACACAAAGATCTTTACTCTGAATTGCTATGATTTGTCTACTAAATACTGGGAAAAAAAGAAATCGCCTTTAGTCTGCGAAGCTCTGCAACGTAATATGAAAGCATTAAAAGAGATAGATAAAGCTACGTATACACTTCAAAACATTTCATATGCAACATATTGTTCAAATACAGATATCATGGTACCAAAATATAGTGACAATATACACATAAACAGACGGATTATTCACTCAATATTATCAGAATTCAAAAACTCCGTCGTTATATATACTGATGCTTCCAAATCATCAAACGGCACTGGATGCGCTTTTTTTGTCCCGTTGGAACGAATAGAACACACATTTAAGTTAAACTCCCAGACCTCTATTTTTACAGCGGAAGCTCTTGCAATATATGAGGCCTTACTTTATGCAACAGAAAGTAGCTCGGATCATATAGTGATATTATCAGATTCTTTATCAGTTTTGACCTCTATTGGGAAACCGGGATTGCCAAATACGTACAGTTGCCCTTATATTTACAAAATTAAGGATATCAAACAAAAGTTAGTAACAAGGGGCAAAAATGTGGTCTTTGTTTGGATTAAAGCACATATAGGTTTGGAAAATAATGAACATGTGGACCAATTAGCAAAGAAAAGCATTTTATCTGGTAGAGAAACTTCGTATAAAATCACGGCTTGCGACTTTCTGGTTTCCTTAAAATTAAGATTATACCAAAGGTGGGATAATATATGGAAGGAATATTCCATTGTTAGCCCAAATAGATACACTTCTCTTCAAACAGATATTCCTAAAACACCTTGGTATAAGTCTTTTAATATACCTAGAAAATATGTTACCACGATCATTAGACTGAGATTTGGACATGCTTGTTACCCCAAACATTTATTTAAACTCAAGGTTTTAGATAATGATCGATGTGAATTTTGTACAGAAGAAGGAAACCTAGATCATATATTTTTCAGTTGTCCCAGAAATACTATAATTTCAGCAAGATTAATAAATAACTTACATAAATTCAATATATTAGCCCCTTGGAACCTTCAGTACTTATTATCACTAGACTCGAGAGCAGTGTATGATTCCTTAGTTATGTTTTTAAAAGATAGTAAAATAACCATGTAAATAATTATGCATTAGTTAATAACGTAACCTTTGTTTCAAACCCAATTGTCAAATTCCCCTCTTACCGTGGCCTAGTGTTGTATGTCTTAAAAAAAATGCCTTGATGGGCCCCTAGGCGAGAAGAGAGTGACCCTGTTTACCTGTTCTTTGTTTTGTATATTTATTAATATAAACTCAGACAACTATTTTTTTACCATGTTGAGTCTGGCTGAATGACTAAAAGTCTATGCCATTAAAAAAAAAATTGTTATCATATTTTATAAATAGTTATTATTTGTCCCTTTCTTTAATCCTAGAATACTTTCTGTTTCCCAAATATCTTCAAACACTTATATCCCATATTCCCAAATATCTTCAAACAATGTGTCGCAGGTATTATTTCTCCTCCACTTCTAGTTAAATCGTTATTAATTTCGTCAGGTGCAACTTTTTCTAGTTTTACTCGTTACACTACTTTGGAAAGTTTAGTAAATATTGAGATTTGACTCCATATACAATACATGATATGCCAGATATACATGATGTAAATTTCTATATAACTGATCTCATTTATTATTTTTCTAGCTTGTCCTAAAGGCTTGTGGGGTAGAGAATGTCAACACAAGTGCGAATGCCAAAATAACTCAACTTGTGATCCTTTCAACGGAGACTGTCACTGCTCCCGTGGCTGGGTAGGTAGATTCTGCGAAAGCAAATGCGACAAGAACCATTTTGGACATGAGTGCCTTGAACAATGCCGGTGCGAGAACGGCGACTGCGACCACATATCAGGGGAGTGTCGGTGCCACGCTGGATATATGGGACCACTGTAAGTTTGTTTATATTATGCACTGTTTTATTTTTATTGTATTCGTTTCTTTTATATTTATTATCTTTTCAATCAGGAATAATACCAGCCGACAAGGGGAATGCAACTGTGATAATGGATAAAATTCAATACGAAAATAAAATTAAAGATCTATTAATAAACGGACCTTATACAAAATTAACAAAAGATCCAACAAAGCCTTTGGAAAACAAAATATATAGAACTTTATTCAAGTTTAAAGATTTATTTATTTATTTATTAAAACTTACAAGCACCACCTAGGTAGCAATTACATGTAAGAGTGCTCATTACTTGGTATAACAATATACACTCAAAAAATACAATATACACACAAGTACAAAATAAAAAAAACACAAAATAAAACACATTAATAAAAAGACACAAGTTAATAAAATATTAAAAATTGAGTCCATTACTTATCATACTTATTTATAACATTTTTTATATCCCTTACACTACAGGTAAAGAGGTCTATATCACAGATCTTTATTAACTCATTGCACTGATATTGCATATAGTTTATTATTGCACCTGAATTATAAGGACTACAAGAAAATAGGTCATTACTGTTTACCCTTAGGTTGACCTTTGGCACATGAAACCTAATAAAGTTTATCAATCCACATGTCTTATATTTAACATTGTTAATGATATTATGAATAAACACAACGCAATACATGTTTCTTCTTTGCTCTAATGACTGCAAGTCAAATATTTGAAGCAACTCTTTTGATGGCGTAAGGTGAGTATACACATTGTATTTCTTAAGGTATAAATACCTTAGAAATCTTTTTTGTACCTTTTCTATATGATTAATATGAACTTTGGCTTCAGGAGTCCATACCACTGATGCATATTCGAAGCTTGGTCTGACTAAAGCGTTATATAGTTTAATGGTTGTGTTTATACTAAAATGTTTAGAATTTCTTATTACAAATCCCAATATTTTGTAGGCCTTATTAACAATATTTATATAGTGTTCATTAAATTTCATGTTAGCCTGTAGGTATATTCCCAGATCTCTACATTTGGTTTTCCTAGATACTACACAATTGTCAATTCTATAATTATTTTCAATGTAATCAATTTTGCGAGTGAAGGATATGACTCCACACTTCGTAATATTCAAGATCATATTGTTGTCCCTAAACCATTCCACGACTGAGGTCAGGTCCTCCTGTAGTAACTGACAATCATTTGAAGTATGTATAGTCTTAAAAAGCTTAAAATCATCAGCATAGATCATACTAGAAGAAAATTTAAGAGATTGTGGTAGTAAGTTGACAAAAATTAAGAAAAACAAAGGCCCTAAGTTGCTCCCTTGGGGGACACCAGATGTAGCCTGAAATTTATCTGATAAACACCTACCAATTTTGACTCGTTGAAACCTTGATTCCACATACGTTTTTATAAATGTACAAGCATCATGCGAAAAACCAAACTCATTCAATCTCGATAAAAGAATGCCATGGTCAACCATATCAAATGCCTTTGAGCAGTCAGTCATTATTAAATCTAATTGGAGTTTATTATTTATTGCCTCACTAGCAATATTAGAAAGAATGCACAGATTACTAGTTGTGGATAACCCAGGCAAAAAACCATGTTGTTCTGGAGCAAATTCATTTTCAAAATTTTTCAGTATATTCATATAGAGAATAGATTCAAATATTTTAGCCAGTGAATTAAGGATACTTATAGGACGATAGTCTTCTATATTGTTTCTATTACCTAATTTAAAAACTGGGGTAATGGTAGCCTCTTTGAGTTTGTCTGGAAAGGTGTTAGTTTTAAGAGATAGATTAAATAGATGTGATAATGGTTTTTGAAATATATCAGAACATCCTTTAAAGATATAGGATATATTATCACTACCAGTGGCCATTTTTGGCTTTAATTTTTTTATACTAACCTTCACATCTTCTTCACTATTAACTGAAAAGTTAAAAGATCCCTGTGAACTACCCTGATGTGTAGATGATACCTGATAAATTGAGCTAAAATGATGAGAGAAAGCCATGGCAATATCCTGAGGGCCTGTATAGGTATGATCATTTAAAGACATCTCGTGAGGAAAACCGTTGGTTTGTCTCCTACTTCTTATGAATGTCCAAAAACTATTTGGGTCATGCAAAATGTTATCTTCAAATCATGTTATCTTCAATATTATTTTGATGCTGCATAAATTCATTTTTGATTTGCTTTTTAATAGTAGTATTTCTAAGACTCCTGAATTTATTGTTATCGACAGCACTAGCTTTCCTTATTTTTATATGTTTTAACAAGTTATCAGAGAGGATTAATTACACCTCATTACAGTAATACTCCTCATTTTTATGGAGTACCGAAAATTCATAAAACGAATATACCACTTAGACCCATTTATAGTACCATGAATTCTCCTTGTAGTGAACTATCAAAATTTTTATTAAATATTTTAAAACCATTTACAAATAAAAATGACACATTCATAAAAAATACACAACATTTTTTAAATAAATTATCAAATATTGAATTTAATTCAAATAATACTTTGGTAAGTTTTGACATAAATAGTTTATTTACGAATGTGCCATTAAATAAGACTTTAAGTATAGCCAAGACAAAATTAGAGAGTGATGATTCATTGGCAACTAGAACAAGACTAAACATATCGGCTATAATGGAGTTATTAACATTATGTACTGATAATACATATTTTCAACAAATATCATTTCTAAACAAAATTTCAAACCCACAGTATGGTGGAGGTATGTAGATGATGTATTCTCAATATGGCCTCATGGATCAGAGTTGTTGGACACATTCCTAAATGATATAAACGATAAAGAAGAGACAATAACATTTACCATGGAAAAGGAATATAATAACACGCTACCTTTCCTGGATGTTTTAATCTCTAAGAACGATACTGGATATGAGACTCAAGTGTATAGAAAACCAACACACACCAATAGATATTTAAATTTCAAATCAAATCACAATATTAATGTAAAAAAAGGGAATAATTAAATCCTTATACGATAGAGCCAAAATTACTTGTTCTAACGAAAATTCGTTCTTGGAGGAGAAACATTTGTTAACAACTGTTTTATTAAAAAATGATTATCCTTTATCGTTTATAAATAAGGAATTTTCAACAATCGATCGAATAGAACAGAACAACTTAGAATGAGATCCTACAGCATACACAAGGAATAATATGAGGAAAATAACAATACCGTACATAAAAGGATTATCAGAAAAACTTAAAGGATAGGAAATAAATTCAACATTTCAACAACATTCAAAACAACAAACACGTTGAGATCTATTTTGTCCAAAACCAAACCTAACAATGAACAAGAAAGGACAAAGAATTGCATTTATAAAATACCTTGTGAATGCGATCAGTTTTATTTAGGTGAATTATCAAGGCCATTAAATGTTAGAATAAGTGAACATCAATCTTATATTAAAAATAGAGAATTTGATAGATCTCAAATATGTAAACACGCATGGGATAATGAACATAGGGTTCAATGGAATAATTCAAATATAGTCCTAAAAGAATCGGATGGTAAAAAAAGAAAAATCAAAGAAGCGGCTCTAATTATGCTAAATGAGGCCAATTGTGTCGCAAATTCCTCGACAGAATGTAGTAGGATCTGGTTACCAATATTGAAAGAGGAAGTTATTAATAAGAAAATACCAGTATTAGTAAGTCAGTAACATATAGAGGATACATCATTTATGTTTTTTAAATAACGTAACATATAAAATCAGAATTTTGATGTTTGTTGAAGGTAAACTAATTTCACGAACAAATACTTACAATGTCGGGATAGTATTATGAGGTTTTTTTCCTGGTTTTTCCCTCATAATTTACTATGGAATCACTAACAGGAGAATTTTACTGTCATCATGTCATGTGTTTGTCTTTTTAAAGATGAATTACATGCTATGATTTTTTCTGACGGATATTCTCAAGTTAAAGTTGATTTCATGTAATCGAATGAACTATCTTATAAGTAAAGTCGTCCCAGGAGCGCAACAATATTGGCAATATCATTTTAAAGTCGTCTACTTTAAAATGCATAATGTATGTCTGAATTGTCAATATAAATGAGTCAGATAAAATTAAATTAGAATAATTTTTCACTATGTAACAAAAAAACAAAATTTGTTTAATTTACTGTTTGTATTTTGAGAACGATTTCCGAATTGGAAATTGAAACGTCAATAAACGTATTTTTATCTTTAATTGTGGCTTATTCCCAGTTAAATATTAATTAATTTACAATGCCACAAGAAAATAGCTTCAGAACAACAATCAGGAATAGTCTCACGGCTTTACTATCGATAATAATCAGGGTTCCATTCTCATTTAAATGAAGTGAGTTATTGTTTGATATATTACTGATACTATTAAGATAACAATAAGAACATTTTACTTACAATTATTAAATTTATTGTTTTATTAATACCAGATTATCTGTAACTCAAAGTGACCGTAAACATTATCCTCGTGTTAATGACATATTAACAAAGTTATACATAGTATAGATAATTCTATGAATTATCGGTAGATAATTTTATTAATACATTTACATTAAAACATATCGTATTCAGAGGAAAACTAAATATACGAGAAATCAAAATAAAAATAATTAGAAGTGTCTATCAAATTTACTTGATTGGAATTTTCCATCCACTCCTGAATGTAGGTCTCTCCCAATTGCTTCCATCTTTCTCTATCTTGCGCCAATCTAATCCACTGTTTGCCTGCCACTGCTCTTATGTCATCTACCCATCTTTTTTGAGGTCTTCCCATACTTCTTGTTGTCGTCCTTGGTCTCCATTCTAGAATTCTCCGTGTCCACCTGTTGTCATTATATCGGGCTACGTGACCTGCCCAGCGCCATTTCATTTTTGTAATTTTTTCCACAATATCCCTAATCTTCGTTCTACGTCTTATCTCGGTGTTTCTAATCTTGTCT